CTTCACCGGCAATGAACAAGAATTGAGCAAAAGTAAACAGGTTTCCTAGAAAATGAAACAGTACCCTTATGATTATACAACATATATAGATATAATCAAAAAAATCAATGTGCATACCACTTTTTGGAGCATCTCTGATGAAACAAGGTGAGATAGTTAGTTAGTTTATATATTACACTGGATAAATAAATTAGAATGATAGATGTCCCGAGCAATTACTAACGCAACTAATCTTTCTAATGCAATGACATTTGTACAGCAGCCACCAAAGATTAAGGCTACGATCGTGGCAATATCACTCCATGATGCACGACTCTTGCCATGCTGTTCAGTCGGCATTGTTTTTGTCTTTTAAAGACGTTCAGAAACCGATTTAATATACTAAATAATGACAAACGATCATTGTAATTTGATTGGTCGATTAAATCTGTAAATAGCCTAGTTAGATAATAAACATTATTTTTCTAATATATCATCCAATAGAAATCCTCCACGCATAATATTAGTTATTATAATATTATTTTTTATAATTAAAAAACTTTAAGATTTGCAGTAATATATAAAAATAATAATAGAATTGTAGTTTTATAAGATTATTTTAAGATTATTTTGATTATTTTAATAATTTTATTATAATCTGATAAGATTATAATAAATCAAAATTTGCCAGTTTCTATAAAGTAGTCTAATCTCTTATTTCAGATCTATCGTAATATGAGTACCGCCTAAATGCTAATCAGTGACATACCAGATACTGTATAATACGTAATTGATAGCATATACACTTGATTCCAATAAATAATAATGAAATTTATTTTGTCAGCACTGGTATTAACTTTAAGTAAACTTGAACTAGACTACACTTGATTTTATTTCAAAAAGAAACCCATTTATAGCGTTTCGATTTGAATTAAAAAACTCGAAACCGATCTGGATTCGAAATTTTGGTTTGGATCTGGGCTGATCCGAAATTTTAAACATTTAACATGATAGAATTTATATCATAGAGAAAGAAAAATTTCCGAATCAGGCTTAATTGGATCAATCCGATTCTTTGGCCCAAACACATAATCATCCTAGCATAACCATCAATAGAGCACCAATTAAATCAGATCATTATGATTATTAGCTAAATTAAAAGATACAATAAAAAAACGCCATATAACACGGAGTTTTTGTAGTAGTAGAAAGAGTCCAAAAAAATATGATTTTGAGATAATCAAGTTTATTGTGTTTAGACTTATCTGAAAATCAGGAACCGGCCAATATTTGAATAACAATCGCAAAAAAAATTTTTTTTTATTATTATTATTAAAGTGAGACCATGCTTCTATCTTTATTGAAACTCAATTGAATTTTTTTTACAAATATACATGAAAAAAATTATACAGTACTTGAGCTTTATATCCAAAAGATATTAATAATAGAGAATCAGACATAATATTAAACAATCGCAAAAATTTATTTGGATAACAATAAATTTTAGATGCAATTTGAATACGTATAAATTTTTTTATTAAAATAAATCATATTAAGCAGTTACATAGGCTTTATTATCATAATTAACACTGTACTCACAAAAGTGACATTGGAACTTCCAAGCAAAAGAAGGGAATTTGCCAAAACCTAGATTTTTTAATTTTATAATAATTTTATTCTAACCGATCTAATTCTTCAGGATATTGATTTTTTTAAAAAATTTTTTTGCCCCATCCCTTCCTTTTGCTGTGGGGGCCATGTAAGGCTATTGGAATCTACTACAAAGTCTTAAAAAAAACTTTTAGGCATGCAAAAATTATCACCTTTTTTGTTGATGGCATTTTTTTAAAAAAAATAATTGAATTACATTTGTTGGTTTTGGTTGTTTTACTGATTTGTTCTTATATTTTATTTTGCAATTCCGTCAGTACCTTCTTTAGCTTGCTTCCTCTCTTTAAAAATTCTATATTCAAAATCCTAACCAATCATGATTTGTGAAACAAAAAATTTGGCTAATACTGTATTAAAAATTTGGAAAAATTCGCTGTTAAAAAATTTTGAAATTTTTTCCGGTTCCTGATATCAAATACTATAGGACTACATCTGTACGCATATCTTTGGTTGAAGACGGAAATATGATACTTTCAAACATCGCTGGCAAATAATGGAAAAAGATTTAGAAGGTTTATCGTTTAAAAAAAATTGACAAATCGGATTTTCAAGCACTTTCAATGATATGGATATTGAAAAACTTCAGTCACTTTTAGAAAAACTATGTTTATTAAACACGATCGATATATAACATGGTTAACTTTTTAATATTTGTGTAATATGTTATAAAAATTTATTTTATATCTGGAACCGCTTTTATATTTTTTGTCAAGATTTATTAGTTGACAAGAACACACTAAACACATCAAACATGTCAAACAAGCACTCAAACGAAAAAATTTGATAACATTGATATTATTGTTATAACGATCTGTCAAATAATCATTAAATAATACAAAAAATAACTTTTATTATATCAGCCGAACAATCATTCGAAAAACAGCTGTAAATAATGTGCCAGCTTGAGCCAACTTACTTGAGCCGGCTTGAGCCAATCAGCTTGAGCAACCTTACTTGAGCCATCAGCTCGAGCCGGTTCGGCTTGGCTTTCTGAGCTGGCTCAAGCCGATCCCATCTCTAATCTTCGCCTAGCGAGTTGTCTGCGATTGAGTCGCTGACTCTTTTCAACATCACCTTCACGTTTCACCTGAGCATTTTCTTCTGAAACAATAATTTCGATGTGACATGGGCTGCTCATGTATGGATTGATGCGCTATTACAATCGCAATTGAATATATGATATAAAAAGATCGATATTAATGACATTTTTAATTTTTCATTAAATAAAAAATTAATGGCAAAAATTACGAACACCATGAGCACGATAAGTTCTTCGTCTCTGTTTTGGAGCTTGGTTTACTTGAATATGGGAAATTACTAAATTGTCAACATCCAATCGCTTGAGCTAAAATCGGGAAATAAGAAATTTGTGTTATATAGAAAATATCATTTATTTATTTATAAATTTGTAATTTTACCTCGGCATTACTCCGGGTATTTTTTAGAAGTCCTAATAAAAAGTCTGCGCTTTTAACAGGCCAACGTCCTATTTAAAAAAAATCGGGATATAATTAATAAGTTTTTTTTTTGTAATATTATAATTTATCCATCCATCAACTAGTACTATTAAGTAGATGATTAATCCATTTTTAAGTTCACATTTATCGACTTCGAATAACGAGAAAGTGAGCAAAAAATCAGAGAATTCAACGTAAAATGACCAACTGAACCTTGTGTAGCACCAAAAGCTTTAGCTTGAGCGCAACGACCAACACCACCATTAAAGCGTCGGAAAGGCACAGCTTGTTTATGCTCTTTCACATCTTCTAGGTACTTAATAGCCTTATTAAGCTTTTTGCCAGAGATCGCCATGGCAGTTTCGCGCGTATTTTTAAAATGAACACGTAGATATGATCCACGAGTCTTGGCAGCTATTTTCGAGTTCAGAATGTCAGCAGTTTCATGCTCAAATAAGCGAATAGGTTGATATTTAAACAAGCTCACACTTGGAAGGGTCGGTCGGCTTAGCAGAATATCTGGTCATGTTCTGTAGTTATTAGAAGGACCTAAAATAACGAACTTTATCAAAAAAAATTTTTTCAATAGATCAAAAAGCAGAGATTCAATTTTACTGGCTGCAAATATGCATCCTGTTGATCAATATGGTTAGATATTAGTCACATAATAGTCACAACTTGTATTTCGAGTTAACTAAAGCTGATTCCGAACCTCTTTAGCGTTATGTAGTTGATAATTTTTAAAATTATAAACGATTGTGATTTTGGATTTTTGCATTGGGCATTATTCAATTGATAATATATTCTTGTTTCGGAAGAGTCAGAGAATTTCACAAAAGAATACATCCAAGATATAAAACTTAGGGTTTCAAAGCAGGCTCTTAAATTACATCGGAATTCTTATCGTACAAGCTAGAGTTTACAATAATTTATGCATTTATAACTTTATAGAATCTAATTCTGGGAACTTGCTCAACGCTTTTCATGGAGAATTTCAATCGTATTGCGTATAAATACAAGAACACCTAACTTGCACTAAATTCGATACGTATTGTTTCTAAAATCCGATGAAATTCGTATTTAAAAAAAAAGTTAAATTGTTTATCCTTTATTAAAATGAGTTTATTAATAATTCTAAACCAATACCTTAAGTAAAAAATGAATTCAGAATTCGTTGCAACTCTCCATACAATATATTTATGTTGTGATTATATCGAGGTTAGACTGTACGCTAAGCGTGAAAGTTTTAAAAAAAAAAACGATTTATGTACCGTTTCTGACAGGGTTCTTAAAAAGACCCTGATGCCAGTTTTTAATGAGAATGTTAAGGTCATGACCCATAACACTAATCTTGAAATTTATCTAAACATATTGAGATAATGCAATAAGAATGTCTGTTAAGAACCTTTTATCTAATATACTGTAATAGTTCTAAATATAATAATATTTTAAATCTTATACAGTATTTTAAATTTTAAATTTCAAACTTTAGAGATTTTATATTAAAACAGTTTTTATATTAGGCCATACAAATTTAATAAATTGTTCTTATAACCCAGCCGGGTCAAATTTTGCAAAAATTTTAATTTTTTTTGACTATATTTACTACCCGGGTAGGCTTTTTTAAAAATCCGCATAGACGATTGCTATTTGTACACCAGGTGTATATATACACATATATTTGATATCTTAAAATTCTGATTATATAATAGCTTTTGGGTTTCTAACGAAAAATATTCCTTGCAAAATTTTAGTATAAACTATAATCATAAGGGTACTGTTTCATTTTCTAGGAAACCTGTTTACTTTTGCTCAATTCTTGTTCATTGCCGGTGAAG